AAAAGAAGCTCTTTCCTTCAACGCACCCAAGTGGGCACCTAACCCCACCAAAAGAAGCTCTTTCCTTCAAACGCACCCAAGTGGGCACCTGACGGCACCTAACCCCACCAAAAGAAGCTCTTTCCTTCAAATGCACCCAAGTGGGCACCTAACCCCACCAAAAGAAGCTCTTTCCTTCAACCGCACCCAAGTGGGCACCTAACCCCACCAAAAGAAGCTCTTTCCTTCAAACGCACCCAAGTGGGCACCTAACCCCACCAAAAGAAGCTCTTTCCTTCAAACGCACCCAAGTGGGCACCTGACGGCACCTAACCCCACCAAAAGAAGCTCTTGCCTTCAAACGCACCCAAGTGGGCACCTAACACACAAAAAAAAACTGGCCAAGCTACGGAGAAGAAAAAAGAAGAATAAAAAAGAAAAAATCGCGGCACACCCATCAGCCAGCCCCCCACGGCCTGCCATGGCGCCGGCGGCCAGGCCCCCCGCCGCCAGGGCGCCCAGGCCGGCCACGATCCCTGCCAAGGCGCCTTTGGAGGTCGCGCTAGCCCTCGGCTCTCGGCTCGGTCGCGCTGAAGCGAGGGGCGGAGTTTGGGCGAGGGGCGAGGCGCGGAACTCCGGAACCCGATTTTTGTCCCAAACAAAGAAGGGAACCGCGAAAACAAAAGTTGGGCATTCAAGGCACAAAGTATGGACTTACACTCTTTTTGATTTGTTCATGACTGAGGGCAAGAGCGTTTTTGTTTAAGAGCACAGAGCAGAGCAGAAAGCAGTGCTTGATCAATGATCAATGAACGCAACAAAGCAATCGACACAACAAGTTCCAACCATCTTGAGCGTATTATAATTGATGCTCTTGTGCTAGCCGTTTAGAGGGCTAAACATGTTCCGACTCCTGGTGTAAGAAACGCCGGCGCGTCAGAATCAGACCTTGGACCCTGGAGATCGAAACCTTTGGCTCTAGGCCCGGCACGCGCCAGTTTGCCCATAGCCCGCTTGCGCCACTGGCACCGCGTGCCCCTGCACCGGCACGCCTTCGACCGGCACGGCACGGCCTTGCACCGGCACCGCATGGCCTTGCACCGGCACTGCTTGGCCAGCCACCACTGGCGCTGCTCCCGGCACCAGCACCGCCTGGCCCTGCACCACCGGCACTTGCGGTGCGGCCACCCCCTGCGCCGGCACCGGCGTGTCGTCAAAGGCGGGAGCACTCGGCGCCAGGGCCTGCGCCGCCGAAGGCCCCGCGGGCGCGGGCATCGGGGTCGCCACGGGCACCGCCACAGCCGGGGTCGCCACTGCCACCGCCTGGACCACGGGCACCTGCGCCTGGTAGGCGGGGGGCTGCAGCCAGAACTGCAAAGCCGGCACTTGGGAGAGGCTTTGGATCTGCGATGCGATGGTGGCCAGGTAGTTGCTCAGGCCCGCGCGTCGGGTCCTTGGTCGTCCCCCCCCCCAAAGCTGAGGGGCGAACAGAAAGATCTGCCATTGGAGGACTTTGAAATCAACCCATCTCAGCACTGGCTGCATGTTGATGGACATCAGACTTTTGACAGGCTCAGTCAGCACACTGGCATAGGTGACTCACCCAAATCCCTTGCTACCAACTTTTCAAGAAAACCGCAGGGCCCTGAATAAGCCAACACTTGTTCCAACAAAAACCTGCCCAGTCCAAACATCGAGCATCTCATTGAAGTTGTTGATGTTGAACATCGAGCGGAAGCCGAAGAGGCCTTTCTCGGGCAGGGGCGTGCGAGCCAAGCCAGCGCTCGCGGCCAATTGCTGGTCGATGTGCTCAAACTGGTCGTACGACTTTTTCACGAGCCACTCGTTTTGGTTGTCCACCACCCGGATGTTGTACCAAACTTCGCCTGCCAAGACGTGGCGCAAAATAGCCTCATTCAGCCAAGAAAGGGGCCCTTGGGCGGAGCCATATCTGGTTTTGCCTTTTGGTGTGTTGTGCGAGCTCGCCGTCCCGCCGTCTCCCTGCCCAGCCACCCTTGACCACTTTTGGGGTCACCAAGGAGGAAAGGGTGCCTCTGAACCAGCGAGAAACGCAAGCGGACCGGGATCAGCTGACCGCAGGCACCTGCCAGTTCGGAGGCGTCCAACACCTGCAACTGCACCACCATCTGCAGATCTCACGCGAACTGTCACCCCAACAAGCGGAAGAGACACACGCGTCTCTCCAAAATATCCGAAAATAAGGCTGCGGCAAGCGGCCGAGCAGTCCAGGGTAAAACAAGAACTGCTAAGATGGATACGCGGCACATCAAGCAGCTGGCCAAAACTTCGCTCAGGGTGGGAATCTTTGCGTCAAATAGTGACTTACAGCACACCGGCTGCCATGCAAGTGACAAAACAAGCTCATGTAGGTCAAGCTCATGGAGGTTCGAGAGCATGACCACCTCCCCCGCAAGCAGGGCAATTGGGGCTTCCCCACGCTCGTCGGAGAAAATGCAAAGGCTGTGGGGCAAGCCCGCCAGAAGCATTTCCCGACAGTCCTGGCAACTCTGGCGTGCAAGACTCTGAGCATCCCTTCTGCGAGACCCCAAATTTTGGTTCAGGGGAAAAACACATACGTACTGGTGCCAATTCAATGCTCCAAATGACAGCCGCCTGAGGGACATGCTTGCTGAATTCCGCGGCGTTGCATGGATTTGACCTCCGCTGAAGCCCCATTCGCAGTGCACGTAGCATGCTACAACCGTTTCATCAGGAGGCCCACAAGCAAAAACTCTGTTTCCAGTCTGAAACGACCGGCAAAAAAAGCAGTTTGGATGACCATGTGTTTGGATGTTGGCTTTCCCGCGGCTCTTCTCTGACCGGAGGCTCTGATCATCAGGACGAGCTCGGGCAAAGACCACTGGCTTAAGACCCCGTCCAATTGAGGGGGGTAACTCTCTCTCTCCCTCTCTCTCTCTCCCTCTCCCGCTCTCCCTCTCATCTGTTATGTGCCCATTTTCGTGTATACATGATACACCCTCAAACCTGTGTCCCCCTGCCTGCTTTTCTGAAGGATGCACAGTCTGCCCAAAAGCTATGTAACCCCCCCAAAGCCCGCAGCTTCACTTGCCTCGGACAGCTGGAGGCTCGGATGGGCCAACGCCTCCGCGACCTGCTTGAAACCTGAACTCGGGATGGATTCGAAGGGGGCCCCCGCTCTCCGAACATGGAGCCTGACAGGTGGGGTTGCTTGGACCAAAACGGGTCTTCCAGTTTCCATGCCTCCGATTCAATGGGAGGGTAAGGCTCGATTCCAGACAGGAATCTGACTTTCACCCCCTGTGCGGAATCAGGCGCGCACGGCTAGACTGGCAATGTGCCCAAATCGCAGACCTCGTGGATGGCTCCATTAGGCCCCCTTGGGCGGGCAGGCCACCTGTGGATAGGGTAGCTATGGGCATTGGGCGAACGGAGACTACTATTGAGGACGCAAACTGTGATTGGCGGCTAATGTGGGCTACGTTTACGCTCCTTGCTGAAATCGCACCCGCCTTAAGAAAACCAAGCCGCGAAAAAATACGGACCTTACATGCCTCAAACCTGGGCATGAGGGGAGCTGTGTCCTGCTTGGCAGCTCCGGGGCCCCACAGTTTCCTACAATGCATAATTAACCAAGCAAAAACCCTGTAAGCCGGACCGCTACCGAACGTACGGCACCGACCTATGTGTCCAACTAGGCTTCCATGCCCAAAAAGCAAAGCCCCAAGAGGATATGATCGACCAAACCCCATTTTTCAGTTCCCGGCGCCCTTTCAGCTCAGTCCCACTCAGCTTCCCCCATCCCCTTTCAGCTGACCACCTCTGAAGCTTTGCACCTCTGCAGTTGCTTGAACAACTGAAGCATCATGCCCTTGGCCCTTGGGCAGTTTCAAGGTTTAGGCAGCTTTCTTAATTCCAATCGAACCAGGAAGTAGTTCGCTCAAATGGCCAATAGGGTCGTTGTCGTGGGCACACACTTCCCTCTGGCGGGTGGTTCAAGGAGCGGCAGCTTGGCGACAAGCGGCTGCTCTGCGTGACGTGCAGCTTCTTCAGGGTCGGCCCCTAGACGCAATCCCCCGCCCCCCAACCGTGTGGTGGACACTTGGGGTCTAAGTATTTGTTTTGGGGATTTCAACCACCCACAAAGGTGGTCGCGAAATGGACCCAGAACTCGTGGTTGCAATACGACCTCCAACTGCCAATGGCACACACACACACACACTTGGCCGGGCCATTGTCTGGCGATGTGGCCTCTTCCCGAAACAAAAAAATGAAGGCAAGGAGCTAAAGGGAGGTAACAAGGAAACGCTGCCTAGGAAGGCATTGCAAGTGAATAATCCTGAAAACTACAAACGAGGGCCGGGCACACAGGCAATCGCAAGCGGCAAGCACAACGCCCAACAATATGACAAAGCAAACTCCAAATCCGTGTCATGAATCTATCGGCCTATGCTTGCTGCTTCCAGGTGCACTGCGGGAAAACATAACTTTGGAAGCGTGGCAACGAGCCGGGCACACACTCCTAGCATAATAACTCGAAGGCCGGCGCATCTGTCATGTTTGCCAAAGGTGCTGCAAGCGATGCTTCTTGGGTGACTTGGGAGAACTGCAAGAGGATGTCACAACCCGAGCCTGCGACGCTCCCAACATAAACAAAAAAAAGTGGGGCAAACAAGTTACAAGGTCCCAGCTCGTGTGGCCAGGCATCCCGGCCAGCTGCTTGGCAGCGTCGGGCCTTCAGGCCGGCCGGGTTGGGCACTTTGGTTTCTTCCGTGTTGGCTTCTTTGAGGCAGACAAAACTTGGCAGTCCTCATTGCAAGGCCCCGCAGGGAGGGGCACCCATCCGCCTTGTTGGGATGCATTGTTTTGGCTACATATATGGCACAATCCCTGCTAGAGAGAAGCATATCCGGCTAGAAGACCGAAGCCACTTTACACCCTGTTATCCCCTCCAATCATGCTCCACGCTGCTTGTCCGCAGATGGTTCAGCTCAGCTTGTCAGCAGGGCTGCCATTTTCTTCGGCACGCTGTTTGCCCAGCTGCTTTCCCAACCCATGCGCCTGGTAGGGCTTACAGGATTACACAAAGGACACAGTTAAGTCTCACTGCCCGAGTAGCCTGGCTACAGAATTCGTGATTCTCACGCTGCACTACATTGCAAGTCTTGAGGAAACATGCAGGCAGGATCTCTGTGTGCGCGTGTGTGTCTGCACAGTCATGTGGATTTCAAGAGCGGAAAGAAGCAGTTCGAGAACGCCCAGGACCGTGATTGTGCTTCTGCGGTTCTGCGCTATCAGCATCTTCTGCTGCAGTGTCCACCACCAGTGGGACCCGCAGAGGTCCCCATCGCAAGCGATATGAAAGCAGATCACAAGGTGCAAGCGACATCCGGGTGCTCGGCTTTGAGTTCCGCAAAGGTTTGGTAGAACTTCCCAGCGTGCCAATAAGTCTTGGGACACGATCCTGCTTCCTTCAACTTGTCCAACTCCTCGAAGGCCCTATCATACTTGTCCAGGTTCCCCTCCGCCCATGCCCAGTAGAAGGCAATGGGCACGCCTAAAGGGGCAACCTCAATGATTCAATGTTTCAACCATTTTCGCCCAACATCGTCATGTTTTCCGGAGTCAAGGGGGCCCAGGGCTTCTTTTTTTTTGCCCGACCTTCTGGGAAGCGCGTTGGGTCGGAGTTGAGGCCGGGGGCACCGGGCGGCCTCTGGCCGATGAAATTGTTCCACGCCACGTCCGTCCCCACCGTCTGCCACAAGCACCAGGCCTGGGCAGGGTAAGTTGGATCCATCAGTTCCTTCTTGCTAGGCGGGCTGTGTCTTGGAATGCAGAAACACAAATGTTATTGCCTCATGGCTTTGGCTCAAAAATGTACCAAAATGGGGTAAATTGAACCAAGACTAAACCTGCGTAACCCTAGCTCTTGAATTTTGAGCCACACCCTCATGTTCTCGCAAACGCTGAAGTGCATGTTTTGCATGTAGCTTTCATAAAACGGCAGCTCCTGTGCCTTGGACGCCTTCTCCCGCCACAGGCCGACGTTCAAGAGGTCCTCGGCCTCGCCGAGCGACCGGGTGGGGACTCCTTGCTCCTGACGCATGCAAACTGCTGGCCAAGGTGGGAAAGGCCTGGCAAACATCCCGCGACTGCAAACTCCCCATGCCAAGCTCGACGCGCTAAGCGGGTCAAAGCCAACAGCTTGTCATTACAAATAAATTTAAAAACCAAAAAAAACTGACAACTACCCAACCATGCCGCGCTTTTCGCACGACTCGCGTTGTCTATCACTTCCTCCCGCCTCTCCGACTCTCCCCCCACTGCCCCGTCCTCTCGGCCCAGGAGCTTGGCAGCAAGCCACCGGCCCACGAAGGGCAAGGCCCAAAAGCTCCAGGTGCCCTGCGCTTGGCCCCACCGCAAGGTGGGTCTTGGAAAACGCGGGTCCGGGCTGCCGGGGACTGTGAACCTCGCAAAACCCGAGGTCCCATGAAAAAAACGACGGAACAGGGCCGCTAAAATTGGAGCAAAGCCAAAAAAAAGCAAACAGCCAAAACGCTGGCTTCAGAGTTAGAAACTCCAGGAAGTTCCCATACTTGGCCTCCTTGTTGGCTGGGTCCCTGTCCAAGAAGTGCGTGGGCAACATCGGAAAAGGGTAAAGCTCCGTGATTTCCTCTCTGGTCCGCGCAAAAAGTGTGTCGGCCTGGGGGCTCACAAACATCATGTCCTCCTCAATGTTGACTCCCACCTCCGCTGTCACGTGGCAATAGGAGAATAACTGGGTGCCTGCTGTTTGGTGATTCGTGCAGGGAACCAACTAGTTGAAATGGGACAAAGGGAGCGCGGCTGAGAAAAGCATCCTTGCTTGACCTTTCTCAGTACATGTCTCGCATATAATATATGAACTCGCGCCATGTGGAATGCCTCTCCGGCTGGAGTGTGATTGCAAGAGCGGCGCATGTCCAAGGGCGGATGACCAGAAAGACTTTTTAGGCACAGATGGGCACCCCTCCTTCATGAGTTGGAGCGAAGAATGGCGTAACGTAGTAACCCATGCTCAGCTGTATGTTTTTCAGCCAGGGGACTGCTTGGAGGAAAATTGTGATTGTCAGCGCTTATTAACGCGTTGTGAGCAAGCAGTTGCCTGTGTTGAGCAACGGGCTTTGTAGATCAGTTGGAACAAGACTGCCCCACGTGTCGGTGCTGTTTTTGTTTTTTTCTTCCTGTCAGTTGTTGCAGCAGGGCGTCAGTTGAATGGAAAATACAAACCAACCTGGCGCCAAATACATGCGGCATACCGTCATACCGGCTGGGTAAGGGACCACGGCAAGGGATGTTAACACTGGGTCCCTGAAACTGAACATCTTGACGGGCTCTCAATCAGAATCCTTCTGGGAGAGGTTTCCCTTCAAACCAATGACAGAGAAATGTTGAGGCTGTCGCTTTGACGGACGTGGCAAACATAAGACGACCCTGTCCTTCACCCGCGCCAGCAGCGCCGCCCGCAGGCCGGAGAAGCTGAAGGAGAGTCCCGCCTTCATGCGGGCATGCCTCGGCACAAGCCTCCCCCCCTCAAAACAAATGAAAAACGAGCGAAAACACCAGGCGGAATCCAGTTGCAACTAAAATGCAGCAGCACCATGCGCGGAAAGCGGTTTGGGTCCAGAAACGGGATGGCATCGCTGCCAAAGCTCACCACCACCACCGGCCTGAGACGAAAGAAGAAACTGAGAAGCCAAAAGGAAACCATTTTGGGGGGGGGGGGGCCAAATTGGCAGCCCCATCCGGAATCCGGACGGATGCAGAATCCGGCAGACATGGTTCACGGAGAACACCATCAATTCTCTCTCCCTCTCTCCCTGTCCTGTCTCCCTCTCTCCCTCTGCTGATTGGACAGTGGGTGTTCCATGAATTTCCATTGGTTCTGGTTCGTCGATGCAGCCATGGGGCTTGCTGGAATATTGGTGCACCGACTTCACCATCTGATCCGTCAGTCCCTTCGCGTAGCCGCTCACCCGCCGGCCCTTGGCATCCCGCGCGGCAAAGTTCACCCATGCCTCCGCACACGGTATGTGGTGCAAAAGCCTTCGCATGCCATGAGGCCTTTTATGACTTTAGCCAAGACCCCAATGGAAAAGGGTCCAGGCATTCCCCAAACTATGGGAAATACCGGGGGGGTTCCCCCTTGAAGTTCTTCCCTTCCTTCAGTTGCCCTGACCGAAAGTGGCAACCTAAAGCTTTTTGTCCAAAAGGACCACGCCTCCTCGCACCACCCGTCCTCCCCATAGAGCCTCCCATGCTGCTCCCGGAACCGCGTGTCCAAGTAGACTTCCAAATACGGCCACAACGCCTTCTCCTCCGGCTAGCGTCATCTCGGCCAAACCACCAAAACCTGCCTATCAAATGATAAACCCAGTATCAGCTCGAATCTTCTTCAACGAAAGGCCCATGGGGTCTGCATGCTTCACAAATGCAACACCAGATGGCAAACACACAAAAAAAAAAACATAACCATGCTAGATATACATATATAGATATACATGTAAACCAAAAAAAAAAAAAAAAACGGAACACGGCACCGCGGCCCGGGCCTTGCAAAGGGGCTCCATGGCCTTCCTCAGCTGCAGTTCCCAGAGCTTCGTCCCGCTCCAGCCGTGGCCCTCGCAGCTCACCAAGGGCTCGGCGCCTTCGGAGAGCGCCTCCGGTGGCAGAGGCGGCACGAAGACCTCGCGACGTCGAAAACTGTCGCAGTTTGAAGCGGCCGAAACCTGCAAAAACCCGCAAGGTCCCAGCAGATGACCGGAAAGAGAAAAAAAGTCCCATCAGAATATGAAGGGCACCTGGCCAGCTTGGGTTTTGTCAAAGCCTGAGAAATGGTTGGCACTTAGCAAGCTTGGTGCCGAAAAATCCCCGGGACATGGAGGAGTATTTGGCTTCCAATCTGCCTGAAATCAGCTCCACTCCAACTGGTGCTTTGGATTCATGGCTTGATGTGAACAATGAATTTCCCTTAATCGATCATTGATCAACATGAGAGAATTTCGCGTCTAAGAAATCAGCTACAGGAAGTTGTACTGGAAATTAACTAAACACCCACCAACAACAAGGGTTTGGGAAAAAGCACCGGTAGACGTTCGTGCTGATTTCTTAGACAGTGGGAAATGAGTTAGAATGACGAACTGAACCATCCAACTGGTTTCCTTCCTTTGGGTTGCCAAAAACCTTTAAGATTCCCTACCGAGTCAGGTGGTACTGCCTGCGTCGGTTGTACTCCCAGACCCCTCTTGACAAATAGCACGGCGCTGTCCCTAGAGGGTCCCTCGATACCTTAAGTGAGGTGTTTGGGGTGAATGTGTTTCTGCGTGCCCGGGATCGCGGTTGGATGTCTGATTTTGAGGAGCCACTGAGCCCGAGCACTGGCAGTGCTTGCCGTCGTCACCCGGCGCCACGTCCGGCAGCTGCGCCACACTGCAAGACACCGTGACAGAGGACTCGCCAGGCCTCGGCTTGACCTCGTGCCACTGGCCCTCGTTGCCCCAGCGAACGGTGCCGTGACATCTGCACTCCTGCCACTGGCTGGCACAAAATCTCCACTCAGCCGGAGCCGAGGGAGCCGGGGGAGCCGAAGGAGCCGAAGGAGCCGAAGGAGATTCGTCTGCACCCGCAACGCCCACATCCGGCTGCAGGCACTCGCAATGCTTCTTGGTGTCCCCAGGGATCACGTCCGGCAAAGCTTCGATGCTGCAGTGCAGGGCCCCAGCTGGTTCGTACTCCAGCCACGTCCCGGCATTCCCCCAACGCACCTTCCCGGAGCATCTGCACGTCTCCCCTTGCGCAGCACAAAACGTCCACCTGAGCTCTGCCTCCGTGGTCAGGTGTGGTGGCTGAGACGGCAAAGCTGGCACTGGCACTGCTTGAGTCTGGCGGTCTGCCTGGTGGCTGTTGCAGGCTTGCCCCGCAAAGACTATTAGCTGTAAAATCCCAGGCATTATTCTGGAAACGATCCCACATGCAGAAATTATGAAGATGTAAACCTCTGGATGCCCAGCAAAAATACATGTTGATGGAATATAGGATGTCCTCCACATATTGGATCAAAAAACAGTGCATTAGAATGAAGATCGCCCAACATTAAAAGAAGCGTGCCAGCTAAGATGAGTAATGTTGTTAAAAGCATGAAAGCTGTACTCCAGAAAGGGGAAGGAAACAATGGGATAGTCCTTAATATAAGATAATAAGATCTCAGATTCAGAATTGTTGTCCAAAGACCTGACGATATACCAGAGAACAATGATCCTAATATCAAATGTCCTGCATTTGAGGGAGATAAGACAGAAAGGAAGAGGAAAATGGGGATATAATGTCCATCCTTTACCACCTCCCAATTCTGAGGTTAAAAAAGGATCAGGAAAAAAATATGAACGTAAAATAATTCTGACAGAAAAAATATCGACTCTAGGATATACCACTTCTGGAGATCCTTCAAAGATAGAGACAGAGCCATGCCATTAGTTGGACAGCAAAGGTGGACATTCAACTCGTTGACTGGAACCTTTAGTGTGAGCAGAGAGCAAGTGCCTTCATTTCGAATTATGTCTATAGTCCAAAAGCTAATTTATTCAAGCAAAAGGTGGCACCAAGAAAAGCGAAACCTGGCGCAACTGCGATTGTCTGCGCACATGACGCTTTTCCCAACCACCATGCGTGTGCTTTCCAACATCTTTCAGGGCATTCCAAGTTCCAGGGTGCCTTCCTGAGCCCATGCGTCTCTGGAGAAGGTTCGCCAGGATTCCAGTGAGCGCGAAGCGTAGACACGCACAGCAAGATGCAAAGGACGAAAACGAGGAAGAAAAGCGTGCGCCCACTCAAGCCGCAAGAGAGCCTGCCGCGGGCGGCGTCAAGTGAGAAGCAACGTGATCAAATGAAGGGCTCGGTCAAAGTGCAACACGGGCTTGGCACAAAATCAGCGAAGCTCGCAAGTACTGGGAAAGGCTTCAATTTCTCAGCGATCTACAAAACTTGGGGGGCTTCATCTGTCTTCCTTCATGAGGTATTCCTGCCGTCCCCCTACCCCCAAACACCAAACGCTTGGAAACGATTTGCCTTTCTGGGGAGGGAGGTCTAGAGAACTCCTGCATGACGGTCCTTACACGCCCCTCCCATTTTGAGGGAGGCCATGAAACCGCTATGATTGGTCCTTCCAAAAAAGGGAAATGAGGACTGCTGCACGGCCCGTGTTCCCCAAACCCAATCCTTCGAAGCCAGCCCGTCTGGCGGGAGCGGCGAGCGACCATGGCATGGCGTGCAACCCTGTCAAACACAGCACATATCTTCCCATGGGGGGGGGGGGGGGGTGAAAAAGCCCCTGGCGTGTTTCTTTCGAAATTCTGGGGGAACAACACTTAGCCGACAGCTCTCAAGGGTTGATCTAAACTCGGATGTTTCGCCTTGCAGGGCGCTGAGGTAGGGGGGGGGGCTCCGGTTCTGCCAAGTGCATGCTTGAGTGAAAACTGTGCCGAACGCTCCAACTGCATCCGTCCACGAGTTTGATGCAGCACCAGGCCACTCGTAGGTTTGGACCCCAGCCCAAATCAACTCTGGGCCATCCCGGCACAGCCGCGCGCTTCACGCCGCGCTTGGGGGCCATGGCTTCACGGATGGCTGGCTGCGTGTCTTTGGCTGGCTGCGAGAGGCGAGAGGCGCGCAAGGGCTACAGAAAGCCGCGGTGCCCAAGCTACATGAGGGAATGCGATGCGAATTCACCACGGAAAGCATGGCAACGGTCAAAGGTTTCGCTAACTTGAATCATACCTTCTAGTCAAACCTAGATTCAAGAGTAACTACGAGCTAGATAAAGGTAAAGGGCACATGAGGGGTAAATACAATCAAGCTAACAATGAAGTGCAAAACTTCTGCGTGCAGGGGTGCTCATATTGGCCGACAGGCGGCGTCTCCAAATGTGACATGCTCGGAGTTAAGAGGTCAGCACTCCTGAAAGGCCTTGGTGCTCCCTTCTTTTTCTCAGCGCTCAGTCACACGGGTCCAGGCGAAAGCTGAGAGGTGCTCTCTCCAAAGGTGGACACCCTCACAAGGCTGGTGCTGGGCGGAAACTGCAGGCAGAGGACACCGAGGCTCCCAGGTTCCAAGCGCTCATGGCAAAGGGGCGAATGCACTCGCGCGTCTCATTCAATCCCGCTTCTGCGCCTGGCGGCACGAAAGCCATTGCTACATTGCTACTTCCCTCTCATTGACCCACATGCTAAGCTCATGGATACAGACGCACAGACGCAGATTTCAGACTCAGACGCAAATCAGAATCAACTTGAATGACTCTGAACGGACAGATAAGGCTGTAAAGCTACTGTCCTGTGCTCCGCCACCATCGGAATCAGCCCATGCCCCCAAAGCAAACATGCCTTCACTCTCCGAACCAGGACTTCCCGGCTTGAAATCACATAAGCGTGCTGATGTCACGAATTCAACTTAACAAGCAAGCTGAAGCCCGGGCGATCTTGCAGAGTCCATGCGTTTCACTAGCATTGTTCCCTGACGTCTGGACACCAAGTCACCCCGATCAACATGTGGCCAGGGTTTAGTCGGGCGACCGGAGGTGGAGGGTAAGGCATCCCTGTGACTGTGAGGTCCTTGAGGCGGAAATTTCTGAGCCGCCTTCAACTTGAGATGTCGCTCTAATATAAGTAGATATGCTTGGGCGTGGCCTCCTCTACCTGCCAGAACGAAGGAAACGGGAACATAATATAAAATAACATAAAATAACATGCTGATGCATCGACACACACACACACACACACACACACACACACACACACACACACACACACCGACTGGGTCGGCACCACGTTACGCACTGGCATCCTCACCAAAACCAATCAAGAAAGGCTTCCAGCTAGGTGTCCTTTCTGACAAATAGATGGCACCCGTAAAGAAGGACCAAACTGAAGCCAGTGAAATCCATTCTCAACCAAACTGAAACTAAGGACAGCCCTATGCTTCCAGCCCCCTGCCCTGGCACTTCCTTTGCCCCAAGCCGGCTGCCTGCACCCGCGCCGCTTCGCTGAGCCCCAAGTACAAGCGCGCGAACCGCGCCGTGGCGGGGCAGGGCTCTGCCACTGCGGCGGTCGCCATCAATGGCCTCTGAGCCGCGGCCAGTCGGAGTGCCAGGAGGGACCGGTTGTTCCTCGGCGCACGCGTTGTAGGCGTTGAAAGCCTGAAGGTGTTGCCTCGTGGCAAAGAATTTCCTGGGCACAAAGAGCTGCAAGAGGAGAACTGTATTGAAAAGGTGGCTATGCACATGTTGTAACTGCCACGGCCACAACGGTACAACGGTTGTTTCAGGTGGACAGGTTCCGAGGCTTTTGAGGCACTAGGCCTGGGGTGTTGGCTCTCATGTTGGCTCTGACCCGCGAAGCAAAGCCGACGCCGAGGCACAGCGTCCAAAATGCGGAGCCAACTTTGACGACCATCAGCTCCAGGCTGGAAGCTGGGACAGCGCCCGCCTGCAGGTCCTAGCATTTCTTCTTCGGCAATGGTTGCGCAGTCGCCCTCTGCCAGGGGCGTCACGTGTTGGGGATTGGACCCCTCGGACTTTCCTGGCCCTGGAACAACCTCTCTACAACCTCGAATGCAATCCCGAACGTGAACGTTTAACAAGTCACCGGGATGATTTAGATATTGGAGGGATGTTGGAGGGCCCTTCGGACTGCTGAAGAACAGGTTCACGGCAAAATGTTCAGCAAGCAACGCATTCTGCGCTCGTCCGGCCTCCAACTCACGAATGTGCATGCCCTGGGCCCAACACCCAAAAAGATGCCTGTCACTCACTACCCGGACCCAATCCGGCATGTAGCAGTGTCCTTGGCGACCTCTGTCACCAGACGGCTCTTGAAGGGCCCGTGTGCGAACTTGGCACCCACAGAGTCCTGCTCTCACCCGAACCTCTTGGCCCTGGGCCCTGGGCCCCGACACTTTTGGCGCTGCAAAAGTGGCCGACATCTGACTCTTTGGGCACCGTTTTTCGGATAATGTCGGAAAAAAAGGGGGAATCCCGAGGCCCTAAAACTATTATTCAGCAGCTTGTTTGTCAGTGGTTCTCCTCTACCGAAGGGATTCTCAACAATCCAAGCTTAAGCAAGGCGCTCCACCAAATCAGTGTTTACTCAACCATTAAACCAATACTAAGCCACATTGAGCCAAAACTAAGCCAGTTCTAAGCAAGGACAAACCTGTTCCCAGCAATGCTAAAGAAAAACAACGCAAAAGGCAGAAGTCGCTCCTGGGTGAAGCGTATCCGCTCCACAGCCAGCTCCTGACGCGGGAGGTCCGGCCTCAGCCGCCTCACTCCGCTTATGTAGATTCGGTCCAGCAGCTCTTCCAGGCCACGGTCCTGCGGATGGCACCAGACGCGCCACTCAGCCGGAGCCAGTCACCCCTCTGGCGAGTTAAAGAAACAACCCACCCCGAGTCTGCTTTTGGAAGTCTGGCAAGGTCACAAACATCCAACAATTAGCGTTGGCGCGCAAAAGCAGGCTCCCTGAAGCCGCCTGCAGCCCCCACCCACCTCACACAACCCAGCCGGCTCTCCCGCACGCTGCCCTGAGCGGCGCCGCCTGCAAGTGGAAGGGGCGACCCGTTTTGGGAGCCGAGGCCAAATGGGGGTGACATGGGGCGAAGGGTTCGGTAAGGCCTGCTCTTGCAAGGGCGAGCTCATGGAAGGCCAACGAACGTCCATGCGGCCACCAAGGCCCGCCTTCGCCCTCGGCTTCCTCCCGCAGCTGCGGCAACGGAGCTGCAGACCCAAGTGTATCCGGCCTGCAGGGGCTGCGGGGGGGGGGGCGGGGGGGGGCATGATCCAAGGGTTTATGCTGCAGCCGGCAAGCCACTTGGCTGGCCTTGCTGCAGCAGGGACTGTGATCGCACTTGAAATTTGACATGTTGTGGGTCGTGCTGATGTAACGAATGACCTTTCGGCCTCCGATCCACATCTGTTCATCTGTCATGGCGTGCGGCACACACTTTGACCCCATCACTGGCTTCTAAAGCGGGGCGGGCTGGAAATTGACCTGGGGAGCTCTCGCTCTCCCTCTCTCTCTCTCTCTCCCTCTCTCCCTCTCTCTCTCTCTCTCTCTCTCTCTCTCTCTCTCCCTCTCTCTCTCTCTCTCTCTTCAAAATGTTGATTACTGCCAATAATATAGCCAGGACTTCTACTCAGAAAGCTCCGAAGGGTGACGCTTGTCTTCAAATCCTCAAGCCGTACCGACTTCGGAACAGCCGCGCCTCGCTTTGGGTTTCGCTTTGGATGCCTGGCTTGCCTGGCTTGCCTGGCTTGCCTGGCGTTGACACAGCGCCAGCGGGGAACCAGAGACATGTTTCTATAAAAATGAGGGGGACCCGGGAACCCCGCATGTACCCATGCCATCTGCTAGCCAATGGGTAATGAATGTTGCCCGGAACACTCTTTGAGCTTCAGCAGGCCAAAGCGATGGGGGTCAATGGTGATGCTACTGACGTTGCAATGGCAAAGTACTGATTGATATTTCCCGGTCCATCCAGGTACTGTATCATTAACGTCTGTCAAGCACATCACCCCCGCTTCAAAAGACCCCAAACAAGAACCTGGTTGCTCTTTAGCCTCCCTCACACCCCAACAGGGGCCAACAAACCCAAACCAGTCGGGAACCCAAACGCTTGCTCTGCCCTCGGCCCTCGGCCCCAGCCACCCCTCGCCCCAGCCACCCCTCGCCCCAGCCCCTCAGTCCTTCGCCTGGCCGCTCGTCTTTGGCCTCGTGGGGCTCGAATTCGCGGCGGGCTCCACGCCAAGGCTGCGGAAGAAGTCTTGGAGGTCCGCCCTCGGCTAACGCCAGCGCGAATCCCTCTCACCGGCCCTGGTAAAAACGAACAGGTGCTTCTTGGTTTTCGCCATTTTCTGTGCGGAACCACAAAGAAGGGGAAAACTGTGCCACTGAACAGCTGGGGAATTACAATTCCATTGACAAAATGATGCATTGAACTTCTGTTTCTGCCTAATGGTGCATCGTGGGATCGATCGGGGAAGAACATGATCCAAAACCGTGCTGGGCATCGTTTGTGACAACATTTCCTGACTCATAGACTTGTATTCAAATTTTGCTATGCCATCGGTCGCATGATAGAAGCATCCGCAACTGCCCTGACCATGCGGAGAGTTCCAGCGAACTTCCGTGACTGGCGCAGCAGCCTCGCAGTGACATGCCTCCCCCATTTCAAGAACTAGTCTAGCATCAAGGGACTAACTTTGCTCCTGCCCATCCAAAAGAAATAAACTTTGCTCCGGAAATACATGTGTGCTGTGTGCTTTCTTCATCGCCGAAGCTGGCAGATATCTTTGTTCAAGTTAGCACCGTATGATTCATGAGCCGATGAGCTGCCTGACTCGGCCAACCTGTCCAACCCTTTTGCCTCCACATCCAGCCCCTTCCATTTCTTGCAGAACCCCCCCCCTCAGGTTGGAGCCCGTTGGGGCCCTGTGCCTGTCATGCATTTTGCAAGCTTACCCCACATGCCGCAAGGCAAACTGCTCCGAAGACATGAAGCATGAACAAGTTTGGCCCTTTGTTGGAGAGGCAGCCAGCGGCCTGCTATGCTTCGACATGGTACCCAAATCCGACATCAGGGCCAAGTGTCTTGGGCCACAAGGCGATCTGACGCTCGACGTCCTCCCAGGTGATTTCGCACACCTCGGCTTCCAGGGGCAATGTCTCACAGGGGCGGTTAGTCAGCACTAACCACTAACCGCTGCGAACCTGTGCCTGCAGGCAAGCAAGCACATGACACGGTCCAGCATATTTGTAGTCCGCTTTTGTTTCTCCACCCTCAGTGCTTTGGCACGAGAGCCCTGAATGCCGCTCTTAGCCCAGCACTTGCTGCATTCTAAGGGGCTAAGTAGTTAGCATATGGTTGTGGGACACGCTGAAACGAAACTACCTCATGATCATGGGGGGGGGGGGGCAGGAATGTAATTCTTCAGCCCCTTTTATTCGCGCCGCGCCTGCCGCAGCTGCAACACGCCCTCACAGTCGATCCATACCCCGCCCTTCAGCACGTCCATGGCTCCCCTCCACCCCTGGCGCTGCTCCTCAGCCAGGAACGTGTAGGCGCGGCCCAACGTGTCCACGCCTGGCTGACATGCGGGCTGCGGGGGAAGTATGATGGACACTTAGGGCCTATTTTACAACCACCTTTTTTGGGGTGGCACAAGTGGGGACCTTTGGCAACGAGACGCCTTGCAATTGCGCTGCAACTGCAGTCCCAAAATCTCCACCCAGGATGGAGTGCCCAGGAAGGGCAACATCAAAACAAGAAACCTCAATGACCAGCGAACATGACGATTCACCACAGTTCGAATCAGCAATCCCTTGTTGGGGTGAAGTCCCATCACTGACCTCCTCCTTAGGCAGGTGGCCAGTGCCATTACCCTTTCCTGGCTGCGGGATCCGCCCACGCACCCAACCCAGCCTTGGGCCGCCGCGCGGCCCAAGCGCTGTGCCACCGCCAGGGCTGAAACAGTCTGCAGGCCCAAGAGCCGCTGTCCCCAGCGCGCCGCCACGTCCGACACGCCCACGTCGACCACGAACTCCTCGCGGCCAACGGGCCCACCCTCCCCCTCACCCCAAACGAAACCAGCAAAACAAAAACGAGGACTAGCAAAACTGGGAAGAAAACAAAGCAAGCACTTGCAAAAGAATGAACAACACATCAAGGAGAAAACAAGAAAATATTGGAAGGTTAACCTTTTGCGTGCATGACTAATAATACACCAAATAGAGGAACTAAAAGGTTAAAAGGTTAGCCTTTGGCAACTGAGAGCAAGAACGAATACAAAACAAGGAGAAAAAAAGTAAAAAGAAACCAAGCATCAGCGACCCCCTAACCTGAAAACAGTTTTGAGAACCACGAAACAAAGCGGGGACGCCGCTCCGGCCCCAGCAGAGGCTCGAAGTCCGGCGCCAGTAACGCCTGCTGCACCTCCTCTGAGATCGCCCGCACCCGCCCGGCACGGTCTCGAATGCGGCACCTAGGGGATGGGGTCAGCCCGGGCCAGAGTGGATCTCTGTCTTTGCTGTCTCCTTGAGGTTGTCGAAACAGTGGGCATGGCAGTAGGTTTAGGATTCCTCGATTACCCAAAAAGGATGGATATGTTTCTCCATTGACTCCATTGTCAATCTCCTGCAAAGGAGGCCAAACAGGATTGATATCTTTCCATAACCCCCCCGCCTCCCCAAATGCTCACCTGCGGGGAACAGCTTGTCTTGTTCAGGCACCCTCCCACCAAGGGAGGGGCGCCCTTTGTGCAATAGTTGCGACTCCTACATCGGGGATGGCCGTTGGATTCATGCCAGCCAGAACCCTCATGCCCTTCATTCTCAAGTTTCGAAAGGGAACCAACATGAAACTGACGTTTCAGCCTGCGACACCCCCTGTGCACCACCCGGCGCCTGCCCCGCAGCTCCGGCAGGAAGCCTCGGGCCTCGTAGTACTGCAGCAGCGCGTCCAATTCTTTGGCGCCTGCAGCCCGCCAAGCGCTGATCGCTGGACAGGCTTCCGCAGCCGGCTTCTCTCGCCAACTAACTTGCGAAGAAGTATTGCGAGGGGCTAGGGCTCGTGTGAAGCTAGAAAACTCAAGGAAGAAGATTTAGGGCCTCTTGAAAGCCAGCAGCCCCCCCCCTTTAAAGAAGGCTTCGCCATTCATGCGGCTCCGCGTTGCGCGCCTTCGTCTGCCAGGAGGTCCTCCGGCAGCAGCACCTCCCGCATCTTGCAGCAGCGGGCGCCCAGCCTTAGGAAGGTCAGCTCCCAGAAGAGACGGGCCTCGGGCTGTGGCTCATGGAAAGTCACCCCCTGATACCAAAGTGGGTTCCGACGACTTTGTTACTTTGAAGGGGGGTCCAGCGCTGAATTCGATTATCCAGGATGTTGGATTCTCCAGCGCTGAGTGCAGCAACTTGAGGGGACATAAGCCCAGGTGTCAAAGAACACCTTACTTTGATCACGTACGTTGATCAGGGAACTTCGAAAGAGCCAGGATTGAGAGTATATAAGCCTTCCAAATGAGCATGTTGGAAAAGAATCAAAGGACAAACAACATAAGGACCCAGAACACATGAACGAACATATCCTTGTCAAACTGCCTATTGAGAAGATCATGATAGAACTCCAAGCCTTTACCATATCTTCTTGCCGGCCCGGCTCATGTATTCCAACAAGCCCCAATCTGCCGTGACTAACCCCGCCATGGCAAGTTGACTGGCAGGGTTGAAAAAGTTTAAACACTCGCACCCTAGCCCTTGATTTACTTTTAACGGGCGTCGTAACATCAGCCATAGTCCAAACAGGATGGTAGTATTCTTGAGAGGTTGTGTGGATCGCTCAATGTTGCGCTTGCTTTGCTTGGTGATTCTAGTTGTTTTTTTGTGGTAGTCGCTTGTTCTGTGCTTGTTGTGCTTATGTCTTGCCTGGTTTCAGTTTTGAGTTTGGAATCCTCTACCAACCGGGGCCCACCCCGGGAACTGCACCCGCCTGCGTGCCGCCGGCGCCCGGCGGCTCCTCTGCCAGCAGCTCCCGCGCCGGCAAAGTGGACTCGGGCTGCGCTGTGAGACGTTCCCACGTGGTTTTGGGTGCGGGTTAGTTCTAGGAGACCCCCTAAAGTGGTGGTTGTCTTTTTGGTACCCCTTTGAAACCACAAGAAAACGGGGACGCTCAAAAACGACAGATCCATATTTAGTGGAAAGAGTTTAGGCTCCTTTTGGCGGGAACAAAACGGTGTGGCCAACCCAATGGTCAGCTTGATGGTTCTATGGGCCCCTTCAAGGGAAACAAGGGGATGGTTCATAGGGATGATTCCGATTCCCTGCAAAGCCGAAAGAAAAGAGGTATCCCTAAGGAACATGCACGCTGCAAATAAGCATGACATGAAACCCAGAAGCCATGATGGAAAAGGAATCTTTTTTTGATGGGCCCCATCATTGGGTTCCGTGTTAATCGCAAGGGTGTATCTGCGCTCAACACAACAGTTTGCAAATCTGAATTTAGTGCAACCTCCGCTGCGAGCCTGCTTTGTTTTTGCTTTTTTCTTCAATTTGTGCAAAGATCGATTATTGCAAAACGATGGGCAGTCAGCCAGCATGCAGCAAGTGGCCCCAACCAACAACGGCATTTGGGTTAAGCGCATCCCAGCAGCGGTGTGCCCTTTTGCGCATGACATCTTAAAAGCACCGGGGCTCTTTGCGTAAGACTTCGATACAAAAACGAGCACGCGCAGTGCGTGATGCCAGTTTACGCCGGGTGCTTTCTGTGTCTGCGTGTTGTCTGCGCACGCGAATGTGTGTATGTGTGTGTGTGTGTGTGCGTGTCTATGTATCTGTGTCTGTGGCTGTGTCCGCGTTCACCTTCCAGTCTTCGCACAGGGTTCAAGCTTCACCGGTGCATTGGAACTTTCGCGAGCGCCACAACCGTCGCGCATTCAAGCGCACAACGCTCCGCAGTGGGTTCGCTTTCGAAAGTGGACTTTGCATAATCTTTGCAATTCAAAGTTTCGAGCTGAAGCTGCGAATTCCGAAAGTGGACTTCTGGTACTTCTCTCGTGCTGAATCAAAACCAGCCGCAGCCATTCCACCAGCCCAAAGTCCGCAGAGGGTTCACTGTATGTCGTCTTTCACAAGTTGCCCCGCTCCACAGCCACGCCCACTCGACCAGCCCAAAGTCTCTAGAGTAAATCCACTAGCGGAGTTCCGTAGGCTAGATTGGAAAATCAAACAGGACCCCCAAAACAAGAAAGGTGACTGGAGGTTTCGCTGATAATTGGAGACCCCACTGTCAATCAACCGGGCCTCCCATACTTCCACTTGGTTCAAAATGGCCCACAACATGCTTAATTCCCACTCAAAATCAACCGAGTTCCATTACCCCCGCCTTGCAGCCCAGCAAGTAGGGGCACTGCAGCTCTGTGGCTGCGTGCAGCAGCTTGCCGCTGCAGTTTGGCAGCAAAGCGCTCCTGGCACCACTCTGAGATGGTTTCCAACTCGGAGCCACCTTCAGAGAAAAACGCTTTGTCAAAGTATGCCCCGTGATTTCCTGTGTCTTCCTGTTGTGTTGTTTGTTTGATTGTTGTTTGCTGACAGAACCTGATGGCAGACGTGCCCTGGCCCTGCTGCTTTCTTGGTGGCTTTGTGCCTCACCTTATGACTGCACAGTCGGAGGGGAATAACGCCGCGAATGTGAGGCGGTTCCCCCGCCCCCCCCCCCCCCCGCCCTTCTTCCCCCCTCAAAAAGCTCCTACTTCACCGGTTGCCGACACCATATCACTCATCACAGCCCCAGCCTCATGTACTCCTCCATCTGCTCTGCATGGGCCCCACTTGCCTCGCTCAGGATCTCATGCCAGTGCCGCCCTAGGAAGGCCAAGTTGGACCAGGAGAAGCGCAGGTCCTATGCTGACAAAAGCCCATGAGCTTCATCAAGCATCATGACATACCTTTATCCAAACCCGGGAACCCCACGCTGTCGAAGGTCCATCCTTCCCCTGGCTTCACCCTTGCCCCTACCTCCCTCACCCTTTCCACCCTCCCCTTCTAGGATGGTGTCAAAGAAAGTGGTCTTTGCCCAGTTTGGCGCTTTTCAAGAGGAATCACCGCTTGCGGGACAAAAAGAACACACATTCTTTCATTCTTTCGTGGGCAATCTAAAAGGGACCAGCCAGTTGTTGTGCCTCGGACTGGGCCTTGGGCCCAGGTCACGGGTCCTCCGCAACGGTCAGGCCCAGTCCGCGCCTCACTACGGCCGAAGCCACCTCCAGCAGCCCCGCCTGGGTGTGTCTCAAAATCAGGGGACCCCAGATGGGCGGTGTCTCTTTAATTGTCTTTTACCCCCTCGCTTTTCCCCCCCCCTCGTTGTCTCACCACCCCCCCCCCCAAAAAAAAAGGTTCCCTTTTTGGCTTCTCGGGAAAAAGGGCGAACCTCAAGCAGAGCACCCTCCAAAGAAAGACAAACCCGCCTCGCCGCAGCCCAGCGCCCTCAGCAGCGCGCCGTCTGCCGGCAGCACGCTCTCCGCGTCCAGGGCCGCCACGAGGCCCGGAGGCGCCCCGGCCGGCAGCGACCTGAGCCAAAGGGGATGTCCTGGCACGCTCCCTGAGCCCCAGATGTGCCTAAGACGGTTCTGGCAAGTAAACGCCGGAAAATCTACCGCACGCTGTCAGGTAAACCTGGTAGGCGCAAGGGCACAGCAGTGCACGAGAATGGAAGCTGGTGTAACATTGCGTCGTGCAATCCCGGAGCTGGCAGCACTCTCAAATGGCTCCCTTCGAATGGAAGGAAATGGGTGAGGCAGACATCAGCCGACCGAACACCATAGCCTCCAACCAAACTCTGGCAGCACACGGGGGGGCCGGGCTTTGGCACTGGCTCTTGAGCCTCTTGGGTTCTTCTGGCGGGTGCCTTTTCAATTCATCTTGAGGTGCCTTTGGAACTTCCAGCGTGCATTCCACTTTCTGTTTGGCATCACCCATGTGCTGAAGGGTAAGGTTCTCAATCTTGATTCTCACTCGAGTACTTCAAAGAAGCGGAGCCTAGGACGCGCCTCGCCATTTGGGGCATTGGAGTCGGATAATTAGCTACCAAGGTGCCTTTTGCCAATACATGCCAATAGCGTAGTCCAACAATGGACGAGTCACCAGGGCACATGCTTTGCAAGGGGTTGCACGGCAGCATGCAATTTGGTGAGCAAGTTGTCCTTCATGTGTGCCATCGGTCCTTGGCATCCATTCTAAGCTCTGACTTGGCGACCGGTGACTACAACTGGAAGCCCCTACTTTGTGGCTTGGTTGATGGTGTGGAGTTCTCAGGGTCCATTTTGCCATTTGGCTTCAATGTTCACAACGATTTCGCGATTCAAGCCCCTGAGTCGCCTTCCCAAACACTGACATCCAGCCAACCAACCAGCCAACCAACCAAAAACCGCCTCCCAGTTTCGTGCGCCGCTTTCTCCCATCCGAGCCGCAGGTAGATGGGCCTTTCCTCGCTGCAGGCCAACCACGCCCCGTCCACCGGGAAGATCTTGGCCTTCCTCAGCGCTGAGAGGTCCACTTCGGAAATCCGGGCGGCCAAGGCGCCCACGACCTGCGTCGAGTGGTGGCGAGCGGCATCTCTCAGTGCGCCTGGTTCATTTTTGTGGCTATCTATGGAACCAGACTGGTCTGCCGGAAGACCATGTTCCTCCAAGAGCGAGCTCCCCGCAATCAGAAAAAATCCTTGGAAACCTAAGACAGCTAGGAGAGTCTAGGAGAGTTGCCTTGTTTATATGTCTCTTCGTGCAAGACTCTTGGCACTACCTTCTAGGGGTTTCACGGAACACATCCACCCCACGCCCCGCCCGCTTGCGGCTTGTCCAAACTCAGCTACGCCTTTGCACACCAGCGAACAGCCTTGCCGAGGTCGAATGTTCCCGTGCATGAATGCGACGTCCCAGAAGCAAGAGCCAACTAGAAAGCAGTGTCAAGCATTTGGAGCACCACAATCAAAAACGAAGAGCCTTAGCGAGTGTCCAAAGAAAGGGCACCCTAAATCCTAAGTGAGGGGCCTCTCGCTGCCACAATCTCACGGGGCCTGTACGCTGCATCTGTGTGAGGTGTTTGTTGACGACAACCTGGAGTGCGACTGAATGCGGAAAAAGAGCTCCCTTGTTCTTGGTCCATGTGTGAGTGAGCTCCCTAGCCTTGTTCTTCATTGGTTCATACATCCATACCACCATGAAACAAGTGCCCGCATAATCTTTCTCACCTAGTGACCCAGTCAGACAACCTTCAAAAACACGGGTGCAAACTCGCAAGATTCATGCCTGGGGCCCTGTCAAAATACCAAGCAAAAAGGCTGCCTCGGCGAGTTATGTTTGTCACCTGCTGAAAAAGAGAAGCCTACGTTTCGCGAGAATACCAACGACTCTGAAAGAAACCCCCCATGCCACGGCCCCGGCTCATTGCCCATGCCCGTATTCGCAGCACTTCCCTGCCTGTTGCCGCCAAGCATTGCCACGCACCTGCAGCAAATCATGTCAGGATTTTGGCGGCTTGGCGCGCGCATGGGCGAACATGTGCGCGTGCACATGCCGCGCGTCCACAAATTTACTGCATGTCTCCTATTACATCTCGTGGACCCTCAAAGGGGCGCCCTGACATGGGTGCCAAACTGATAATAGAGCGAGAGGGTGGAAAGCGTCAGCAACACACATGTGGTGTTCAATGCATCCGATCCTTCATGCAGATTGTGGTTTTATCGCGCTGTGTTGTTTAGAGGACTAATTGAAAACAGCGGAACAGAAATCCTCGCTGTCGACCCTCGTGCTTTCATATGTTGGGGCAAACGCTCTGCTTGAGACCTCTGTTGTTTGAATGTCACTCAAGGATTGATCTCATGTTTACAACACACGCCGTGGCTGGATTAAAAGGGAGAAACCAAAACAATGCTCAAACCTCGAGACAGTCGCAAAGCAAGAAACAAACACCAAGCAAATGCTCGTGAGCAACCATGGCTGCTGACACGTGTGTTGGGTGCTCCTGCTTTTGCTTTCTGGGGCTGTAGGGCTGTAGGGGTTTGCACTGTTCTGTTGTCAAGGTGTGTCTCTTTGGTTCTGGATTCGCGGCATATTGCATTTGATTTCAAAGGCGTGACAGCGTGCAGAGCGCGCTGCCAAGCAGTGCTGAGCCGCTGGCTTCAAATCCAAAGTTTGCTCCTTGTTGTTGCACAAAAAGTGGGTGATCAGCTTTCTGGCCTTCCCAGTCGGCTCTGCCACTCTCCTGCCCTGGCCGCATCTAAGGGAAACACCGCTAACTTTTGATAAACCGCGGTCAACATGCGCACATACAGACCCCTCCCTGCCTCCCAGCCACCGTGCTCCAACAGCCCCAGCAAATCCCGCACTGCGAAGTCCTCGAAGAGATCGCCGGCAGGCCCCGGCAAGCACCTCCGAACGTTCCGCTGCAACCAAAAAAAAACGTGTGTGAGCCGTTTGTCTGTCAAGCTCTTCTTGTGGCAATACAGTGCAAACAGGGCCGCGTCAGGCAAAAGAAGAAGGGGGTGTGTCACTTATAGGGGGCAACTTTTTGTTGGTTCGGTTTAAATGGAAACTCACAGGGCACCGACCATTTGGGGGTTCCTCCGCTTGAAGACACGCCCAAAACGTCGCCACGCCCTTTCAGCCTCAAAAACTCCTTGGTCGGCAGCGCCAGGCCCGCCCCCTCCAGCTCCGCCGCCTCCAGTTGCAGATCCCGCAGCAGCGGCGAGGCCCTTGGCGTAGGATCCCTCATGAGAGGGGTGGAAATCCCAAAACTGGTGGTTTTCAGTTGTTTCCCACATCCCCAAAAGGGCACCCTCGAAAAGAAACATACCCAAATGGGTTCTCAAAATGGGCCCCTGTTTGGAGAGTTAAGGAAAGTTTGAGGAGGCCCATTTCTAAAAGTCCACTTTGAGAAACACCCAGAGGAAAAATAAAAATAAAAATATTATGGGTCCCGAGCGATACCTGGGTGTCCATCCCAGAAGTGGCCTGAGTAACTCGAATATGCACCCTTTGGTAGACATTCATATGGTTGGATTGATCTGTCATCAAACAACTTGCGCTGTTGAAGTTCATAGCCGTGTGAGCCCTGGTACATGCCCGTAGCTCTTGTTTTAGCATGAGAAACCAGAACCCCAAACGTGTCCACAATGACAAAAATACACGAGCATCCATGTATGGTTGGAAGCGGCTGATCCCCATCCCCTACTGAAATCAAGCAAGGGATGCAAGCATCAAGCACGGATGCCTAAAGCTTGGCTAAGTGGTGGGATCTGCTTTGGAAGGGTTGGCCTTGGCAACTTGAGGGATTCTAATCCCAAACCAACCAGTCCAAACTGCCAACTAAGGGTTTGGCGTGGCAACAAGCACCCGTCCAACACGGTCAAAGTCACGAGGACATGGTTAGTTGTCCAAAAATAGATTGCTGCTGGCTGGAAGCGGCTGCCAAGGTGACGCGAACTAGAGGGATCTGCCGCGCGCTTTGTTGGTGCCACACGTGGTGGTCGGCAATTGAGCCATGTCCTAAACCTGTCATGATTTGCTATGTCGTATCATTCTGCTTACGCCACCAGCTTTCGCAACCTAACGCGTGTGGAGTTTTTGCTTACGCGACACATTTGGAGGTTTTGCTTACGCCACCAGCTTCCGCCACCTTACGCGCGTGGAGTTCTTCCTTGCGCGCTGGTCGATATGACATGACTCTTACTAAACATGTACGCGGAGGTTTTGGACGCCGCTCAATTGGCTTGAAAACCGCGGCGAGGGCCCTCTGAACCTATACAGCTAGGTTAGTACTGCAGATGAAAGGGCAACAAACACATGGGCATGGATCGCCCGTTTTTTGGAACAGTACATAGAAGGTTGCAAACACGACGCAGCCGCTTTGACACAAGGCGCAGTGAAAACATGCGCCCAGGGCAGTCTGCCATTCACAGGTTATGAGCCCAAGTCACGTTAGGTGACTGCGACCACGCAGCTATGGCCACTGGATCGGGGAGATCCAGGAGGATAAGAACGCTGGAAGCCAATGAGGCCGCGGGCAAGGGGTCGAGCAGCAACGGACCTGGCCCGGTGGTGGAAGAGGTGATGGAGACCCTGGTCGCCAGGCCGGATGGAGTGGTGGAGGCAGGAGCTTCGACCCAATGGCCTGGAGGGCCGCAGGGGGAGCCGCTGGCACTTGAGCCAGTACCAGCAGCGCTGTTCACGCCCGAGCAGATGAAACGGCTCGATGAAGAGGCGCCGCTGATCCATTCGACTGGAGCTGGAGGGAGCAGAGAGGGGTTTGAGACCTACATCGAGAGGTCCAACGAGGATATGTTGGAGAAGAAGGAGTTGGTGCTGGCAGCACAACAACTTGCTCTACCGGTACCAGGGGGACATGCCGAAGGCGCTCGGGTTGCCCAATGGCAAGAACAAAGGCCCCCACAGCCGGCTCTACCTGGACCTGGGGGACTTGATGGAGGCCCTCGATTTGCTCAACCTGATCCAATGCAGGAGATGCGCTACTACATGGTGCAGTTGATGGCCGATAACCGGAGGCTGCAGAAGGAGGTGGTGCACTGCGTGAATAAGGTAGCAGATATGCAGCTGAAGTGGCAACCGCCTGAACAAAGAGCTGTACGAGGAGGAGATCAGAGCGACAGGTTCGCAACCCCTGAGGAGCATGGAACCCCAGAAGGCCATGGAGCAACAGGAGAACCTGCTGATCAGGAAGAGGAGTCTTCTGAGATGAGGGAAGATGAGCCTGGTGGGGAAAAGGGACAGTCGCTGGACATCATGCTGAAGATCGTCCAAGGGATGCAGATCATGCAGCAGCAGATGCTCAACCAGCAGAAGAAGCCAGATGGAGTCGAGGATCACAGCGAGCTGGTGAAGAGTGGCGCTATGGAGCTGCCGAAGCTGGTGGAGTATCGGCCGGAGAGCGCGCCGATCGATCTGGGAGATTGGATTTGCGTCCTGGAGCCCATCATGGCGGATCTCAGCGAGTCATCGCATCAGTGGTGGCACAAGGTGGTGGAATCGGCAAGGGTATGGTACGCGAAGTACCAAACCACGCCGCCGCTGGAGAGGCTTTGCTTGCAGCCGAAGGATCCTCCGGAACTTCAAGAAGCCCGGTGGAGAAGGTTGGAACGGAGGGCTGTGGGACTGATCCTACGAGCTCTTCCAGAAGGAGCCAAGGAAGAGATGGTGGCGACGAAGTCTATGACGTGCTACGCCATCCTCTGCAAGCTCATGGCTAGCTATCAGCCGGGAGGTCTGGTGGAGAAGGGGGTGAATTTGCAGAACTTGGGAAGTGGACTCTCTGGCGTCCTTGGTGGTTGGTCTGAGAAAGTGGATGAGGTGGAAGCAACGGGCGCAGGAGTTGGGGGTTACAATCCCGGATCCGACGGTGTTGGCGCGGTCCCTCAACAAGATGATCAAGAAGGTGCTGGAATTGCAGCCGGAACTCGCCTTCAGAATGGCCTTGGCGAGGAATGCGCTACAGCTGGATTCCATCCCATCGCACGAGGCAGTGGAGAAGTACGCCGGCGACAAAGACTCAGATGGTGGACGCCAAGGTCAAGAAGGTGGACACTGTGGACGGCAAGAACGAGATGAAGAAGGCTGGAGAGGACATCCGGCCCTGCAAGTTCTTCCTTTCGGAAAAGGGCTGCAGACGAGGGCGTGGGTGCAGATGGAGCCACGACCAAAAGGATGAGAAGATGAGGTGTTGGTCTTGTGGGGCGAGTGAGCACCTGCGAAAGGACTGTCCTGTCGCTGTGAAGGCTAGCCCGGACCGGAAGCCGAAGGTGGCAAAGGTCAATACCGAAGGAGGGGACAAGAAGGAGGTCAGCGCGGAAGCCCAGAAGGAATCAACTCCGAGGGCAACGACCTCATCAGCAACAGTGCATGAGGACTCCCCGGGAACGGCGAGTTCGGCATCCAGTGAAAAAGACAATGAGGCGATGAAAGATGTGCTCCAGGAGGCAACGAAAATGCTCAGGAGCCTCAACGTCAAGGCGCCGGGAAAGAGCGCACAAGAGGAGGAAGAAAAGAAGCTGCTGGACCTTCAGAAGCAGTTGGACGGCATGAGAGAAAGGATGAGGGTTCGCCAGATAAAGTTGTCCAAGATGGAAACAGCCGGTGTTCGCGGGCTGGTGGACTCGGGAGCAACGAACCCACTCAGCGCAGTGGAAGAAGGCGAGGATGTCGAAAGCTATGAGGAACGGACGGTGGAGCTGGCAGCCGGGGAAACCTACAGCTTGAGGGTAACCCCGGGAGGCACGCTCGTTGCGGAGGACAAGAGAACGCAGCCGATCATTCCCATGGGCATGCTCACGAAGGACCTGCACTGCAAAGGTCAAATGGAGTGGGAAAGCGTGCACTATCCTACATCCTGGACGAGGACAACTACCGGTGGTGATGAGTCAAGGGTGCCCGGAGGTGCCAAGGGCATTGGCACTCAGTCTGATCCAGGAGCTGGAGGGTGTAAATCGTCATAAGATCCGATCGCTGTCGAGGCGGGAGGAGGTGGACTTCGTGAAGAAAGTCGTGGAAATGCATCCGGTGTTCGACGAAGTGCCGGAGGCGATCAAGCGAGAGCTGATGGTGGAACCGGCGGAGGATTGGAAACCGCTGGGGCTTAATCGGAGCCGAAGAAGAAGGCTTGAGAAAAAGGGAGGAGCGGTGGTGCACTTGTTCGCGGGCCCGGAGGAGGGGTTCGACCTTTCGAGGGCATACAAGGAGCAAGGTGGAGATCCGCGGGACATCTTGGAGTACGACATTCTCCGAGACGAGGCTCATGACCTCATGAACAACGAGCTCATGAGCGGGTTGGTCCGGTTGGCGCTGGACGACCGGATTAAGGCCGTGGTGGGCGGGCCGAATTGCAGGACGAGATCGGTGCTACGATTCTATCCGCTGCTGAACAGGGCTAAGCCACGGCCGATGAAGCATCGATGGGGCCTGCCGGAGATGGACGAGGGAGAGAAGGCAATTGTCAGAGAAGACGATGTGCTGATGTTCCGCTTCATCCTGATCTATCTTCTGGCAGACATCACGGCGAAGGCGAGAGAGAATGAAGGGGGTGGTGTGAAGTTCTTCATGGAGCAGCCGGCGGAGCCTAAGGGAGAGCCAAGATGCGCTTCGTGGTGGAGAACACCGGAGTGGAAGATTCTTGAGAAGCTCCACAACTTGAAGGAGGTCACCTTCATGCAGGGAGACTGGGGTGGACGTGCGGTAAAGCCTACGACAGTGGGCACAACGATGGACTTCCAAGGGCCGGAGAAGGGTGTCTGTGGGCTACATCTGGGAGAAGCTCTACGTCATGATCGTGAGAAGCCGAAGTGGGAGATGACGGATGAGGAGAAGCTCAGCTCGTCGAAAGCGTTGGCTAGGTGGGCCCCGGGCATGATGAGAGAGCTGGCAAGACGCCTTCGGAAGGAAGTGGATGGCCAGTCGAAAGTGAAGGTGAAGTCTCTTTCGTGGGAAGAGCATGTGAAGCTGGGCCACCTGCCCTTTCGGCGGGACTGCCGGGTCTGCCAGGAGGCTTCGGCACGGGACCGCCCACATAGGCGTGTACGACACCCGGCTGGGAACGTGTTGTCGGTGGACCTCAGCGGCCCGTTCATTATGGGCACCGATGTGGACGGGGTTCAGGACAAGAGGTACTTGTTGGTGGCAGCATACACATGGCCACAGATAGACACATCAGAAGGAGAAGAGCTTCCTGGTGATGAGGGAAGTGAAG